AAAAGCACACAAAAAAGTTCAAGCTTTTGAGAATGCAACCTGTTTGATCAGACAAGCTGTAAAAAGTAAGCAAAGTGGGGGAAAGGAGGAGGAGGAGAAGAAAAGTTTTACATTTTAACTCTCTGGGTGTTGTTTCAGATGCATGGCTGCTGAAGACAAAGAAATGGATTCCATCAGCTAGTTTACAGTGACGTTAGATTTGCCCCATTGCAGCTTATAGGCTCATGGAGAGCTAGGAAATTAGACACTTTTGGTCTTTCATCTTAAGACAAATATATCCCTCTTGTCCAGGCACACAGGTGAGTGGAAAACAGAAAGTCACTCAGCAATCTTTACATTGTCAGTGTGGAGTTAATTTTCAATGAAGACTAGGCAAATGGTGTCAATGTAGCCAAGTTGTGTAGTTGTTGCTGTTTCAACTTACCCTGTTTTCCTGAAAATAAGAGAGGGTCTTATATTAATTTTTGCTCCAAAAATGCATCAGGGCTTATTTTCAGGGGATGTTTTATTTTTTCATATACAACCATCTACATTTATGCAAATACAGTCATGTCATCTTCTTCTGGTTGCTGCACAACGGTGGAGCGCGGGTTTTCACTTGACTGCGGCCGATTTTTGGGGTAAGCCTTATATTACGAGCATCGTATTAGGGCTTATTTTCAGGGCAGGCCTTATTTTAGGGGAACCAGGGTACATACTGCCCCATAGTACTACAGCACTCTCTGGCCAACAAAATTATGCAAGCAATACCCCCCCTCCACTGGGTACTTTTACTGACTGGATGGCTGAGTCAACTGTGAACCATCTACCAGAATCTATGGAGATCAAACTTGAATCATGAGCAGAAACTTGACTGCAGTATTGCAATTTAACTACTGTGTCACAGGGCTTGCTGTTTTGCAAAATTCCAGAACTGGCAGTACAGTATAAAGAAGTATCCACAAGGTGACCAAACACATGGAGAGCTGTGTTGGCATTAAATAAATTCCAAAATCCTTTATTAGCCAACCAGAAAAGGCACCAAAATTCTGCAAAAGCAAGAAAAGCAACACAAGCTTTCAAGAACACGATTTCATCAGACAAGGTGTAAAAATTAAACAAGGTATTTTTGCATACTCCTTAGAGCCTTTTTGGTTGGCCTAATAGAAGTACCACCTCAGTATGGATTTTGGAACATATTTATAAGGAATGCATCTTCTATCAGTTCCTGCTCTGTTGTCTTGAAACTGACATTTAATACAAGAAACATGAGATTCTGCTACTGGCTGCAGTTTATTAACGCTACCCAAGCAAAGATAACTAACTTGTAACTGCAACTATTTAAAGGGGGGTAGAAGCAGAATTAAAAGAAAACCAAGGCGAGCACTACTATCCTTTCTCATTTAGCATGCTAGTGCTATGCTAGCTATCAAAAGCTTGAGTATGGTGGCAACAGCAAACTGTTTCTGTCAGTTATAGACTCGGTTGGATAAGCAAGAGAAGAAACAGCATTCTAGTCAATATCATGGACCAGGAGGAATTGAAAGGGGTTGGTAGCAGATGCAGTCAGAAGCAAATCAGATTAGTAGCACAAGAAGACAAACACAGCAGGAGGATGTGTGTGCAGATATGCACAACTTGCAGTGAGAGGTGCTGGATTGTCAGGAAAATATACATTCATCTAAAAAAGAATACTACTGCTATTACAAGCGGATGTCCCCAGATTTGTGTCAGTTAGAATAGCCCCATAGCATGATATTAAAAAAAAACCTTAAAGAAACATTGTGGAGTGGCAGACACACTACCTCTATTTGGTGGGAGGTTTTGAGGTTCCGTGGTCAGTGGAAAACAGGGAGCCACTAGGCAATTTTTGCATTGCCAGTATGGGAGTTTATTTTAAATGATTAGGTAAATATTATCTGTGTAGACGACATCATAGACCCCTCCTGCCTCCTATGAGGCGTTATTCACAGGATGTGTAGCCATAGCTTTGGATCAGTTAAACCACTGGTTCTTAACCTTGGGTTACTCAGGAGTTTTGGACTGCAGCTCCCAGAAGCCTTCACCACCAGCTGTCCTGACTGGGGTTTCTGGGAGTTGCAGTTCAAAAGCATCCGAGTAACAAAGGTTAAGAACCACTGAGTTAAACACTGGCACCATAATTGCAACATGCTTCTGAAATCCTGTTCTTTCCATCTAATTTCAAGGCAGTGAGTACAAGAAGTAGACCCTGTGCCAATTTTTGTTAATGGACTGGAACCGTAATCCAGACCCGGTTTGGAGGAGGACTTGGTTTTCTTTTTCTTTTTCTAACTTCCAGAAGTGGTTATTGGCTCTAGCTGTTGTTCCCAGTTGCTTCCTGTGTTGCAAGTTGCTCTTCTGGGGTCCTTCCTGTTCTTGGTGAGGTGGCTGCCATGCTGTTTACCCCCATCTTCCAAACTCCTGCTCTAGACTCTCAAGGGCTCTGCATACAGTTTTTCCTACGCTGCTTGTTGCTGTTTATGATCTGTTCAATTTTGGTTGCTGTGTAGACAGATTTAAACAGATTTAAATAAATTAAAGTGTTTGATAAAACAAGTAACCCTAAGATGCACATTGCTAGAGTTCCTTTAGTTTATTAATATGTTTTTTATTAATATGTTTGATTGATTTTATTTATTTTATTTAACTAGAGTTCCTTTAGTTTACGTTGTCTGAGTTCATATTCTTGAAGTCATGGCAAAAACAGACAGACATCATAGTACAGATAACAGGCTAATAAGTGGTAGCACACCTTAAAGACTCCAGTAGTAAAAGCATTTTACCCTCATCCCACTTCCAATGTGCCCCGCTCCCATAGCATCTGTCATTCAGCCCACTTCTTACCAGACTGCTAAATATTGATTGACTGATAGTGACTCAACTGTGCCTTGGTGTCAGCAACTGAAATAGGAAAAACCTGGCGGGGAGAGAAAATAAAGTGAAGGACTCATAGGACGGGGTTTGAAATACCGTAGGATGGATTGAAATGAAGAGACCATGGAGTGAAGGCAAAACCATGGAATTAAAAAGAGATTTGCTGTATTGGAAGATTCACAGCACTGAAGATTTAGCTGCCTCAATTTACTTACACACACTCATGCTCACACCTACCTACATCCACAGATTTGAGGAGAGAAGTTTGCACATTAGGAAATGGATATTTTATTATTGCTGGAATGGGTATCCTGTTAAGAGTAGAAAACTGTAGATTCAATGAAATGATTTTGGGACTGGAGTTCACCCGACTTCTGCAATCTACAGTACAACACAAGACAGAAGCGTTTACCACAAGTTTACTTGCCACTTTTGCGAAAGCTACTTGTTATTTCATCCTGCCAGTTTGCCTTCTGCAGCCCATCACACTGTATAACTCATTTTGTAAATCAGCACCTTACCATGGCTATTTTATGATAGTGCCCAAGGTATTTTGCCATTGTCCTGAATATTCCCACAAACTAACGGCACATTTTACCACTGGCCAGATTCAGGATTTCCTGAGCAGCAGGTGCAAGGAAGCAACACCCAGGTATTCAGGGAAGTGGGGACACACTTCACACTTGTCCTGCACTCTTCAAGCTAGTCTTTCACCTTCAGGTACCATGGAAGACAATGACCTATCACCAAGTCGAAGAAAAATACAACTGCCAGTCTAGTGACGTAGTCTTGTTTTTGTTTTTGTTTTAGCTTTGGTAACTGTCTTTTAATAGCTGTGTCAGATCAAAAAAGTTTGAGACTTTTGTTCTAAAGAGAGATGCAGCCAGCTCACCAAAATGCTGCTAGTCTACAAAGACCAAATTAAGATCTCTCTTTATAGTTTATTTAAACTGGAGTTTGTCCCCTTTGCTCTCCTACCTTGATTACATGATCCTTAAGGGATGAGGGCCGCTTTTGCTTCATTCAGAAAACTCCGTTGCATTTGTACATAAACATACATTGACCAGCCACAACATTAAAACCACCTGCCTAATAGTGTGCAGATCCAGTCATGCTGCCAAAAGCTCTGATGTATCAGGGCATGGGCTACACAAGACCTCTGAATGTGACCTGTGGTATCTGGCAGCAAGACATTACTAATAGATCCTTTAAGTCCTGGAAGTTGCGAAGTGGGGGCTCCATGGATCAGATTTGGTGTTCCAGCACATCCCATAGATACTCAATCAGACTGAGATCTGGGGAATTTGGAAGCCAAGACAACACCTTGAACACTTTGTCAAGGATTCTTGATCCCAATGAGAGCCCTATTGCTGAATGCCTATTACTCCTTAAGACCCTGGTGTCTGCCACCTAGTGAATCAACTTGGTATTAAAGGCTAGAGACATACATACTGTATTTACACCCATCACAATTAACTTGTTTTAAAAATCAAAAATGTATTTTTAAACAAAATGTATTTTGTTTACTTGTAATCAGTTACTACCCACTATTCACCTGGCCCCTTCACCAGGTATCTTCAGGAAACCACTTAGGACCTTGTTATTTCAGCAAGCTCCTTCACAGATTGCTGCCTTGTCATGGTCTTGTTATTTCAGCAGGCCCCTTCATAGTTTGCTGCCTTGTCATGGCAAAGGGGCTTTAGTAATTCAGAGAAGCTATGGGCTATGGTCCATGGAGTCACGAAGTCAGACACGACGCGGACCATTTCAAAATATCCCATCTACAGAGCTTACTTAAACTGCTGCTTCAGCCAAAATACTATAAAATGAATGCCAATTTAAATGTTATTTACTGTGCTGTAGTATTTTAATAATTTTTATTTCTACTTTATAAGTTACAGATGTGTCATTTTATTATTATAATTTGATTTTGATTTTTCCCCTATGTTGTAATGCACCCAGAGTGGCTAGATAGGTAGTATATAAATTGGATAAATCAATAAAATAAAATCAAAAGCTGATTTAAAGTCTACAGAAGCTGATAAAATGCACTGGCAGAGGGAATGTATACAATACAAAAGAAAATGAATGGAAAACAGAAAAGTAAAGTAAGCGCAAGTGACTAATATTATCCAACTTGTTTAATTTATTTCTTAATATCACAGCTGTACAATTTTCATACATACAGAAGGAAATGCATATTGGCTATACCACCACGTTGATGCATTTCCAATTATAATACAGTTGAGTGCAACTCCACTTGAAAATGTACATTTTTACAACTTATACAAAGTAAAGGCTGCTACTCTATTATATGTGACAGTACAAAGCTTTGATTGATGTAAGTTTCATTACTAAATCACTCCTTGGTTAAATACAAAATATACTAAACCATTTTAAAAGGCCTTTGTGGTACTTGGCCAATATATAAAATATGCTGTGTAAAATTTAACCTTTTGCATTTTAAAAATAAGCTCATAGTTGTCATTAAACATTGTTATTGAGCTGCTAAGACAGACATTGAACAGGAGCCATACCATAACTTCTTCCTTGCTACTGCACTGATCAGACAAAATTTGATTCTAATCCTAAATACATTCTTTGTAACTATGTCCCACTGAAGGCTATGGGCTTTGATTCTCAGTAAGATGCTCAAAACAGAATGGAAACCACTTTCTTGGAAGCAGTTACCAATGAAATGAACATGACCTGCTTTATCTACGCAAATGGCCTGGAGTTCAGTACACAAGCCCAGTGAAATCAACGGGCATAAGTAGCTAGCTACACTCTTCGTTGGACTCTGATCAACATCTTTAGAATACATTTGCAAAGTACTGTGGCTTCCTTCAAACAGATTTACAGAACTTTTTTTAAAAAAGATAAACAGCATTCCGTTATAAAGAAAAATGGAATGCAATCTAAGACATGTTTGCTATCTACACTTTAATGGGCAGAATTTTTATCAACTTGTGGAAACACATTTTTGTAAGATGAATCCAAACAATACATATTAATTTTTATTACTTCACTGAGTGTTTTGGCCCACAGACCATTTTCTTGTTAACAGCTGTTTCAAAGGAAAAACAATTACCATCCTGTATCACCATTCCCGTTACAAGAATGGTTTGATTTATAACTTTCTCTAAAAATATACATTTTACAATCCTGACATCTCAACAAAGAGTGAGACAGAGAATAAATAAATGTTTTAAGTGCCTTATTCTCATCTGCTTAGAAACTACCTATTGTAAGCCCTTTCTTTTTTAGATTTCTCCAATGCTTTGTCCATAGTTTTCTCATTTTCTCCCCTACATTTCGGACAGTACCACTTGCCTTTGGGTTTATGATTGAGTCCAACACATGAGAAGTGAAACCATTCAATTGGGCACTCATCATTATCACAGCCTATCATTTCCCCATAGGAAACTTGATTACACAGACAGTAGGTTGGTTCATTAGGATCAATGGGAAGATCTGCTGGGGAAGCTTCCCTTTCTGCTTTGGCCTTAGACCTCTTCTTTTTCTTGGATGTTTTTGCTTTCTTTTCCTTTGGAGTTCCTGAGGTGATATCATCATGATCATGATTATTAGAAGCATTCTCTCGATTTTCATTATTTCTTTGACGCCTTGACCGTTTGTTATTTGGCCTCTCAGCCTGAGTGATTGTCTCATTCTTTGATTTATCTTGGTTAGCTTTGCCACTGTTTCCAGTAGGGTTATTAGCCTCTTGGCAAGTTTCAAACAGTTCTCCATGGCTATCAAGTTGCCTGGTTCTGTTTTCAACAAGTTCTACCATTTGACTAACAATCTGAATCTTTTCATCACCAAGTTCCTGACTCCGGATCAATGCTCTCTGTATACAGTGCAACAACCTCCGCTTTTGTACTGCATCACTCTCCCGTTTGAATTTTTCATAATAATCATCCAGCTCCTTTAAGATATCTGTTAAAAAAAAACCAGACAAGATTGTATTATTCGTCAGTCTTGTGCATAATAGCAGGGGTACTCAAACAGACTTGGTCAAACAGGGAAACTCCCCAGATATAACTACAGATGTAATTCTACTTTGTAGAGAACTGAAATACGAAAAAATTACTTAAGACCAGCAAATGAAATCAGTTCTTTGTGTATATATATTTTTTCCTGACTAAGTGAAAACTGCTCTTCCAGAGAGACTCCAGGAGCCTGTTCTGTTTGCATTCTGCTGGGGTTTTTTTCTTAATTCTGCCCTTGTTTTGCTCCACCCCCCCCATTCTTTTGCAATCACTAGGTTCTTTATATTTACTGTACTCATCTGATAGCAACAGCCAGATAAATCCACATTTAGTTATCTTTAGATATACAATTTAATGGCGACTCAGAAATCCCTATACTCATTTCTAGGAGCTCAGTATAACCCAACAAAACCATAATCTAATGTATTCTTGGAGGCTTTCACGGACGGGATCTGATGGTTGTTGTGGGTTTTTCCAGCTCTTTGACCGTGTTCTGAATGTTGATCTTCCTGACGTTCCGTCACACTCTCTGTCCAGCATCTTCAGAGGTCTGGAGTAGGAATTCTGTCCATGCTCAGAGCATGGACAGAGTTCCTACTCCAATCCTTGAAGATGCCAGACAGAGAGACTGGCGAAACGTCAGGAAGAAAAGCCTTCAGAACACAGCCAAAGAGCTTGAAAAATCCACAACAACCATCAAAACCATAATCCCTGAACCAACTAATTTACTTTAGCACTGACTGTACTCAGAGCATCTCATCTCTGACCTCCCAATGTCCTGGGATGAGCTCTTCCACCTGGCCAGGAAGAAAGCAAGCATCCAAAGGATATTTAAAAATCCCTCAAAGAACCTGATCGGCTGATGCCATGGAAACGTCTCTTACTTTTGAGTCCCAAGGGCTCTTACTCCCAATTAAGAGCAGAGATAGAGTCTAAGCATCCTTAAATTTCAAAGGGACCTCTCTTTCCCATGAGGAAGATGTAGGCTTGGGCAGCTGCACATTTTTTTACATCAGGGCTGGATAGCTTGCCCACGTCTTGGTGGGCAGCATCTCTCCTTAGCGCACCTACTCATGAGGAGCCATGAGACTTCCAGAACAAGAATATTAAGTTGCCCACTCTTATTTTAAGGAATGGAACTAAAGATTCTTGGTATGCATTTCTTTTTTAAAAATGTGGATTTTAAAAAAAGAAAGTTCTGGCTAACGCTTTCTCAGGCATACACTCGGGGGATAGAGGTGTTTCCGACACAGACAGGAGAACTCGGGGGAAGCTCCACGAAACCGCCACTTCCTTTCTAAAACCTGGTGAAAACTGCCTTTTAAACGGGCGGGAAATGCCCAGGATCCTTGCCGCCCCAGCACCTGGCAAGATCCTGACTCCTCCCAACCCCACAACAACTGAAAGGGGGGGGGAGGCCGTGCGGGTTCTGCTCTCGCGCTTCCCCTTAACAGCAACGGTTACTCGCGCGACAGAATCCGACAACGCGCGGAGGTTTCCTTCCCCGTTAAACAGCTCCGACTCCCTTCTAGAAAGGCGGCGCAAAGGGACACGGCGGGCGCAAGGGGGGGAAGGGGGGTACTAACGGCCCCACCTCTTTTTCCAAGAATGAGCTCGCGCCCAGCCCAGCATTGGAAGAAAGTCCTGCTCATCACTCCCTCCCCTGCTGGCCCTCAGCCAGAGAGGGGCCGCCCCCAATTAGCCACTCCCTCTCCTCCACAGGAAGGGTTTTCGGGGCCCATTGTTCTTAGAAGGGAAGTGGCGGCGCTCGAGTGTCTTCCCCCTTTACGTACGTTTGCAACCGAACATACGCGAGGACCCGAATCATGCAGCTGACCAATCAGCTTCAGGGAACTCCCACCACAGTCCGCCTTGGATGAAACAGGCCAGTCAAATAAAGTCAGGGCAAAAGCCCGCCCACAAGCCAAACATCAATACCAATCACAAGGGAAAGCCCCCTGGAGTCTCCGCCTTCTTTAACACCAACGTGCCAATCATGTCTTGAAGGAGGAGCGACGGGCAGCCCTCAACTTCCACAGCTAGCCGTCAGTCACTATGAGCTTCCTGTAATAGTAGAGCCAATCATCCAGAGAGAGAGAGACGGTGGGGGGGGGAGTTCGAACTATTGCAACGAACCTCCTCCGGTTGCTCTTCTCTCCGCCCCCTTTCACCATTCGGTTTTGTCAGCGTCACTACCGAGCGAATCACTAGAGAATTCAGGTGGGGACTAATAACTGAATAGAAGGCGGGGCTACGGCGTTTTTTTCATGTGGGATGTTCCAACCAATAAGGGAAGACGGAGGCGGGGCGAGCAGGATAGGAGCAGTGACGGTAAGCTATAAAAGCTGCTGTGACGGCACCTCTTACTCTCTTTCTAGAGCTCGAGCAGGGAGGTTCCTTCCTTTAGCGCAGTCGAATGCTTACGGCGGGTTGAAACGCCCGCCCTTGTCCTTCAATAGTACCCCCCTCCGTTCCTTATCCCTTCACAACCGGGCATTCATACTGTCAAGTTAACACTCACTTCTTCCTTTTCTTTCTCCCTCTTCCTGCTCTCCTTCCTACTAGCGACATAATAAAACTCTTCACGGCATGAAAGGGGTCAACTGCTTTCCTCAACCTCCCTTCATAAGCGCTGCAATAACCTGCCGGGTTTCTAACACCCTCCACCTCCTCGCCACTGGAGAAAAGAGGAGTTTAATGTGTAACGGGCACCCCAGTGTCACCTCTACCACCAGGCGTAACACTCTTTTCCACCCCCTCCCCACCCCTTTTACCTATCGCAGCACCAAATGACAAAGGACCTTTTAAGCCCCCTCACTAACTAAAACCACAATTTCCCCGGCTTTCAGTGAGAGTGACGGAGAAAGGGACAGAACACAGTCTCCCCCCTCCAAATAAAGAGCTGTAAATACGAGTTTCAGAAAAGGAGGAAAAAAGAGGGAGGAAGACGAGGGGGGAGCACTCGGCAAGCAGCACATCCCCAACCCACACACTATTTATATAATCTATCCCCCACGACTTTCCATCCCCTTTCCACAGAAATACTGGACGGGAGGAGACTGTTTAAAAGCAAATCCCATTGAAAAAAAGGGGGGACGAAGGCAACAAGCCCGGCCCACCCCCCCTTCCACTCTCAATCTAATCCACTCTCCCTCCCTCCTTTACTAGCACCCTCTCCTACTACAGCCATTGCTAATACTAGAAATTCCTCAGTGTTGTGCTGCAATAGATTTCCCTTCTTTCTTGCCTTTCACCCCACCAGTGAAAAAAAGGGGGGACGAAGGCAACAAGCCCGGCCCACCCCCCCTTCCACTCTCAATCTAATCCACTCTCCCTCCCTCCTTTACTAGCACCCTCTCCTACTACAGCCATTGCTAATACTAGAAATTCCTCAGTGTTGTGCTGCAATAATTTTCCCCCTTCTTTCTTGCCTTTCACCCCCGCAGTGCCCTGAAAACAATTCTCCCTCAAAGCAGAGAAAGAAACAGCCACCTCAGTGCCCCATGCGTCCTGATTCCTCTGCCCCTTCGCTACCCTACTGCTGCCGCCGCCTTTTTGTCCAGCGTTTTTACACCTCAAAAAGCCAAGTGCTCGCTTAAAAACTGAAATCCCGAAGAATACCTTTTGTTCCATCCCAAGATTTTTTTTTTTAAAAAAAGAGGTTATCGCCTGGAGAACAGCCCTCTTGCCCACTCCTCGAATCTCTCCTCTCGCTTTCTGTTTGCCTTCTCACAAATAAATAAATAATAAAAAAGCTACCATCCGCTTCGGGATGAAGAGGAGGGAGGGGGAAAACATACAGACACACACACACACACACAAACACGGGAGATCATCTCTGCAGAAAAAGCAAACCTATATAGCAGTTATACGTTCTGGCAAGGAACACATAAAGGAGAAAGCACTTACCTTGGTATTTGGCGTCAATTTCCCTCATCAGGGAGACATTTCTCTGCAGATCGAAAGGCAGGGATTCGATTGAGTCCATGTAATCCTCCACATAGTTTGCTAAATGAAGCTGCTCTCCGTTTGCAGGATTCAACATTTTCATCTGGCCGAAAATTTTGTGTATATAGCTTCCTCTCTCACCCGAATGGGCGAGAGTTTTCTTTTCAAGCACAGCAGCCCCAATGGCAGAGGCTCAATCCCCCAGCGTCGTCCTCTCCCCGTTTTCGGTTCCTTCAATCTAACCGAAAAAGACTACCAAAAAGGCAACATTTGAATCTTTTCTTCCAAGATCAGAAAGGCTGGCTGCCTCACACAGAGTCCGAGAGTCTTTCTACAGCCCCAGAGCCGCCGTAGCAGCTGATTGAATGGCTGTCGTTGTCGGTAACTCACCAAGGAGGTGGTAGAAACAATCAGAGGGATTTGTGTGTGTGTACAAGAGAAGGGAGGGAGAAAGGGGAGAGCAAAGCTCTTAAAAACCCCGATCTTTCCCCAGACAGGCAGGCAGGCAGGCAAACAGCAAAGATGCGTGGGGTTAAAAATCGCTGAGCAGAAAAGAGAAGAAGCTTCTGGCGGCGAGTACTGCTGCTCTTGTTCTGCCCGTGATATTAATGCAGCCTTTCTCTGTACGCCGCACTTGATCCAACGTGGAAAACCCAAATACCAGTTTCAAACACTTGGGAAACATTCAGCCCCGCCACCCAGTGCGCAGGCGCACCACTCCCATAAAAAATCTCCTCCTCCTCCTCCCCCCCCGCCCGGAACAGCAGCAGAGACGCTCAATGTGCTTCTATCTGTACGGTTTGTTGGGGGGCGGGAAGGGGAGCCTCGCTATTCCTTCTAGGAGAAACAACAAAAGAGCCTTGGGGCACTTTTACAAATCAGATTTTTTTTAAATTGCGGCATAAACTTTGACAGACGCTGTTTATACAGTAATTATACCTTCTTCATATCTTTACTCCGTTAAGTCCAGAAAAGGAAATGAGACCGTATTAAAGGGGGGGGGGAGCGCTTGTTAGCTCAATGGCTGCAAAGGTGCGCGGAAGGGTGTGTGTGTGTGCAGTGCATGCACAGCGATACACATTTTCTAACGCAGACGTGTCTCACACTCGTGTTTGACTGTTTGTGGGCTGGCGGTGAAATGCCGCTTAAATACGCTTCGTAAATGTACCTACAGGCAAACTAAGCACCGTTGATTACTCAGTCTTGGAATGAGAAATTGGTGTACAAAGCCCTTTAATGGGGGACATGCATGCATTTTAAAAGAACAGAGCGGAGGCACGGATGAAGTTTCTGAGGGGTGTTTGCCTCGGCTGCCTGCTCGCTCGATCTTATGTGACTCTACTACTCCGACTGGTAGCGAGAAGGGAACTGGGCAAGACACATCCTGGTGCTTTGGGGCTAGTTGAGAAGGGATGACATGAACTTCGAAAAGTTGCTCCTGCAGCAAATGGCCAAGGTCTCTTCTTCTTCATTGCCTTCCCACATGGACGCCGTTAGCAGGCATCCCTAATGTGCCACCGCAGCGCGAGAAGCGGAAGCTCGCCGTAAAAAACGCGACCTAACTTCTCGCCCACCTCGCCTTGCATTGTCTACTTCCCCAGTTTGCAGGACTTTTTCGCTCTTAAAATAGAGAGGATGTTCCTTCCTTCTTTGAAACTAAACCATCCGAGCAACAGCATCAGTAATTGTAATCCAGTAAAAGACAGCATTTTCGCCCAATCAAGCCTCAGTCGGTGCTTCGCCCCTCCGCTTTGCATGTCCAATAGCAAGCGACAGGCTAGACAGCCGGAAGAGAGAGAGAGAAGCGGCAAGAGGGAAGTATGAGCATGCGCACTTGGGATTTACGGGCGAGGAGAAAATGGAGGGCAGTAGAAAAACTACGTTTCCCTATAGCCCTTTCTTGCAAATGCGCATGCGCCTGAGTTGTAGCCACTGCAGTACGAGATGGGGGAAACCCTAGGACTTGAAAGGTTGCCTGATCTGAAAATCAAAGCACACCCAGCTGCAGAAAGCAAAAGGAGGGGAGCCTGTATATATGGGGAGCAAAGATATTACATGGCCGAGTACCAGAGGAAGGTTGGGTTCGGAAAGCTGTTTGCATATGGATGTGTTCAAACGTATGTCCCCGCTCCATAGTACCTGAAAATTCGGGGTTGGGTGGGAGTTTAAACATCGCCTCATAGCCGTTCTCTTTCAAAAGTAGTTTCGTGATGACGGCTTATAGTAAAGCAAGATAAATTTCAAGTGGAGGCGGCACTTAAAAAAGGCTCGAAGCGGGCGGAGTGAGTTGATCACACACTCCTAGATAGGTCTATTCAGCAGTAAGCTTCATTGCAATAAACTGGAGTTAATTCCCAGATAAGTATTAAAGAAATGAAGCCTGAAGGATCTTTACGGCCGTGTAACCGACAATGCAGAATATGAAGAAAGGGCCACTTAGATTAACTGTACAGTAGTTGAAATGTTGAAAGCATAGAGAAGCTAATGTCATCCTTCCCCCTCCCAGGATTTGATGGTTATCGTAATTTCAGACCCCAGTCGTCTCTATTCCACAGGAAATGGCAACGGCCGGGAGATTCATTGCGGATCTTTGAGAATTTTTCCGTAACCCGACCCAATGGGTGGTTGGTACCTTAAATGCAGAATTTCGGGACCGTGCTCCCCAGATTGGTGCCCTGCACAGCCACAGCTCCCAGCGGCAAGCCGCCGAATGCCGCTTCTTTCTACCATGAGAGAGGCGGCAGAAAGTAAGACGAATGCTGCAGGAGAGCCGAGCGGGAACATGACTTCGCCTTGCTGCAGCAGCTGTTTAAGAGGGGAACGCAGTCGGCCTCTGGATTTTTAAGTTTAAAAGCACACGATTCTGAAATGGCTTTATGCTTGATTATAAGCTGTGGAACTGGGGCGGCCAGTAAGGTTGTGGGAAGGGGATCTAGCAGGCGACACGGGCGGACAAAGCAGGCGGCTCGGTGGGAGACAGCGCTGGAAGCCGGGGCAGAAGAAGCAAGCCGCCTCAGCCACCCTTTAATCGGCAAAAACAACAAAAAACAAGCCACACAGCCGACCTTCGTCTACGTCGGTGGTGGTGGTGGTGGGGAAGCGAGCATAGCATGCATCAGCTACTCCCACTCCGTATTTATTCTTCCGAAGTAACGCCTCCGCGCTTTCCGGAAACAGCAGGATCGGGTCTGCGGGAGTAGGCCGGGAGAAGCTTCCTTAAATGAAAGGTTTTTTTTCCCCCCCATCGGGCGGGGAGAAATGAAAGCAAACCGGTTTCATGATCTTCCATCCAAAAACAGAGTGTGATTGTTAACCATCAGCGATCCTCCATCAAAACAAAGTGGAGGGAGGGGCTCTGAAGGGCCGTCCAAGAAAAGGAGTTTTTTGGTTTATGCTGCATTCTGGTTGCTCCACGCTTTGTGTGTGTGTTCTGTGCCCTCAAGTCGGGACCTACTTATGACCCTAATAGGGTTTTCGAGGTAAGTGAGATATTTAAGGAGTGATTTCACTAGTTCCCTTCCCCCCCAGTGAATTAGGGATTTGAATCCTGATCTGCAGTCCTATGCTGTCACTCTGCTCACTACACCACACTGAGAATCACGCTTTACTGTACTTCTAATAAAACTGGATTTGCTTATAGGGGGAAAAAACTCATTCCTCACGAGTCAGATTTTCTTTTCTTGTTTCGGTTGCCACTTAAGCAAGGCTCAAACAGTGTTTCTTCAGCAGTGGCAGGAAAGGAGGAGTTTTTTTTTCAAAAAGTGCTTTGTTGTCTTCAGTCTTTTTGCTGGTTACTAGTTAAGGAAGAGTTGGATCATTTCTCAGCTATGTGCTTTTACTGTCGTTGCAACAATTGTTATATCTTAGAAAATCTTAACCCACACAGCCCCTAATTCCACTGGCCCTCCACTTAGTTCAGGGCAATTTCCAAACTGTAATTGCACTTCCTGCACTCCTCCTTGAATAATTTTGAAAATCCTTGGGGCTGGCAGCAAAGTGAAACAGTTTTTCCTCAGAAGAATGCACAGAGCTTTCTATGAAAATATATTCTTACATAGGTAAGACTGAGACAAGCTATCGTCCCCAACTTTGCCACAGCGCAGTAAATGGGGGTGGGGGGCAGTCAGATCTGCACATAAAATTAGATCTTTGGAGGGACTCCTAATTGTCGTATTTATACAGCTCACAAGTTATTTTATACATTTATATATTAAAGGTGATTCTTGAATAAGTGGATTCTATTAGATGTTAGCAGTTTATTTTAACAGACAGGAGTAGACAAAGCCATATATTTTATAATAATAAAGACGCAGGATCAGAACTAGGTGAGAGCACAGAACATGCCAGTAGGAACAAATGGAATAAAACAGGATGAAACTCCAAATTAATGGCATGTTTAAGATAAGCTAGAGCTTCACACACACACACACAAAACCAAACCAAACCAGGGCATTTTGGCTCTGTTTTTGCCTTTCCCTCCCATGTGTTATAGAGGACCTGAATGGAAGGTTTACCCCTTGTGCAGAAATCATAATATAAGTGAACAGTGTCAAAAGTAGCAGTGGGCATTATCAGAGCCCGAAGTGGGAAGGTCAGCCTTTTCTTCCCTTTGTCTGGATTTATAATTTACAGAAAGCTTTTGAAATGCAGTCAAGAACTTCTTGAAATTCAACTTAGTGTAACACTCTGCTGGGCTAGAAGGATAGTTGTGGGATGTCTTTATGCTTCACTCCAGTTACAGAATAGTGTGTCAGGGGGGAGTAAGGGGGGTATGGCATCTAAGCCAAATGAGATGAAGTGGCATTAAATCTAATAAGAATCTGTGAACAGTGACAACAATAATTGATTGAGGAGGTAGTAATTCCAGAAAGATAATGAAGGCATTTAAAACTGTACATATGATTTCCACCCACTGTTGAATTCACTGGGACCTAAAAGATGTTTTACTACATACAGCTGGGCTGCTCCTTTAAAATACTGCTTTTAGAAGAGGTAGATTTTTACAAGCCTCAGGAGGTAAAAGTGAAATTGGGAAATGGTTGCTGAGACCTTAATGCTGAAGGCAGAATCAAGATGCTGTTCTCAACCAGTCAGATTCCTAAAACCATGCAATTTTGGGGGCACTGCATGTTATAAGCCAAAGTATTCACTTTTTGCAGTACCCACTTATTTGCATGTCTACCTGCATTATTTAATACATGCTTACTCAGAATTTAGCCCTGTTGTATTCAGTGGAGCCATTGTCAGATTTATGTACAAGACGAGTTAGTTTGGGACCTCAAATTATGAGGGGCTTCTATATTTAAAAAAGTAAATAAAATACAGATTTATTTTGATGATGTTATGCTGCCTCTTAAATGCTTCACAACTAGAGGAAGGCCTATTAAATCAATAAAATCTATGAAGAAAGCTGATTCACCAAATTCTCAGTGATTCAATGCACCTACTCTAGGAGATAGGAACTAGGACTCTGGAGAACAGGGTTCAAATCCCCACTTGGCCATGAACACTCACTGGAGGAGTGGAACTGGTAAAACCACTCTTTAATTATCTCACTTACCTTGGAAGTCCTATTAGGGTTGCTACAAGTGGAACACACATACGCATTCTAGTATAACTTACTACTGGATTTCAACCAGCATGTCTTAACCTGGGCTTCAGTGAAGTTTCCTCTTCAGTAAATATGTTTATGATTGCAGCCTTTATCCTACTGAGTTTGATAGCAGTGACTCCCTGGTAAGTATGTCTAGAATTGCATCCTTATTTTTTTTTAAATGGTCACCTATAGTAATGGTATCCCTTTCCAGCCTATCTTCTATTAGTAAAAGCACATTTTGTGTTGATAGCTTCCTTTAGTAAAAGGTGTCATCACATTTCTTCATGGATCTTATACTAAGAAACCAATATGTGAGATAGAACAAGCAATCAGTAAATTTTAGGCATAATTTATATACAGTTGTTACTTTTTAAAGCACTTTCTATAATGAAAGAATGCAATAAATATTTGAAAAATCAAACAATGCATTTTCTCATACTCTGTTCCCCAGGCCTTAAAATGACTGAAATGTAGATTCCAAAAACTAAGCTAAGAACTAATCTTGGTACCTGGTCAGTGAATTTGCTTTTAAAACTACTTCAGAATTTGGAAGCTTGAAACAGGCATTGTTAAAACTGAGGAGGATCTCAGTGGCGTGGATTCAAACCTTTCGAAACCGGACATCTTAACTTGGCTTAAATAGCTGCAATCCTGTTCCCAAGAAACCGGGGAGCAACTTTCATTGACCATTTACTCTAATCATGCCTAGGCTGCGCAGAAATGATCCGCGTGGATTACAGATCCCTTCGACTTTCCTGACTACTGTACTGTATACAATTTACTGGGAATTCATGCTACAATCTTATTTACACTTACATAGGAGATCCTATTGTTTCTTGGGGGCTTGCATCCGAGTAAACACGTGTGGGGTTCAAGGGCACAATATGTCTACACATATTTACTCAGAGGTAAGCCTACTGACTGCAACGGGCCTACTTTCAATTATGCGTGTGCAGTACAGCTAAAGGATACGGTGCCGTGCAGCTTTTCTCGCACGTAAACCCCGCTAGATTCAACGGGACTTGCTCTCAAGAAAGTGTCCATAATAATCCAAATCCAAAAGCCTCCTCGAAAACTTTGTTTGCGAGTCAGCATGCATAGGATCGGGCCCCTGACCTGATCGGGGCCCCTGATCAGAGTCGTCCAGCAACTTTGAATAGCAGCGGGAGAAGAAAGGAGGAAAGAAGACGAGAACAGTTCGCAGCGGCCGGCACTAGAAGCGAGCCCATGGGGGCCCGCCCGCTGGCTGGCCGGCTCGCTCTCCCCACCTTTCCTTACAGGCGGGGGGGAGGGAGAGGAGTCGCGAAAGCTCCTCCTTTTCCTGCTGCCGGCTGTAGCTACCGCCCTCCGCGGTTGGCGCACAGGCGGCGGCGGCTGTTGCTACAGGCAGAGAGGGGCGGTGCGACAACGCCTCCTTCCTCCGAGCGGCTTCGGCGCCGGCCGACCTCCTCCTCCCCTCTCGGAGGAGGAGCAGCGGGCCGGCTGGGGGCCCAGCCCTGCGGTACAAGGGGAGGGGAGGCAGCGGCGCGTTGCAGGCAGGCGACGGTCGGGAAGAGAAGCCAGCCCCTTTCCCGCCGGCCGAGGTCGTTTCCCTCGCTTTGCCGCGGGC